AAAGAAAATCCGGTTATACGAAGTCGGGGCAATGCAGGAAAAAGAGAAAGTCGGCAACGCGTATTATGTACAGAGACTAAATTGTTGTATTCTCGCAACCGTAAATGTGGGAAACCATTGACAAATGTTGCAAATTTGTTCCATTAATTATATCACCACCTCGTGCATGCGATACATACCGTAGAGTAAATTGTTTCGTACGTGCACTACATATGGAGGATTAGTTAGTGGATGGACTAATTTTATTAAAATAAGGCGAGTAAGGACGAAGCTTTCGCAACTACTAAGATTAGCAAAGTTCGCAACGTGGGTAATTTGCCTGGGAGGGATAGACACAATAAGTAAGGAGTAACAAAATTCACTTTTCATTATCTGCCCTGGTGTTAGGCTGTTACGCGTGGAGAGAGAGTGATTACTCTCTTCGAGATCTTTGTCTGATGGCGACCAGGACGAAGCATCTGCCGATGTGGGTAATATAATAGCATCGTCGTCGTCGTCGTCGCCATCGCCCATTGCCACAGGGAGGGAGCAACTGGTTGGTGGGTTGGAGCAACACATCTCAGTTCCGAAAACCATGAAATGGATGCATCTATTAAACCAAACTAAGTCTCTCTCATGAGCAGTAAAAATAATTCTGCAAATGGAAATGGACACTTGGGTCATAAAGTAGGAATTCTGGGAAACCATTCCAACTAGAGTACTGCATACACCTACATGTACGTACATACGTATAAATGGGGTCTGATTATAGTCACGTCATCCTCACACTCACTCGCAATCACAAAAGGTGATGCAAATTGTGTCTCGAGTTGGAAGACCGTGCTGAAATATCTCTTTCATTAATTGGAAATTTAAATCTTCAAGTGCCTTTTAGCCCATGGTCGTAATGGCGAAAAACGCGTGGGGAAAGATGTACTAATAATTTGAAGGTCAGTAAAATCATACTAACCTAGAGCGAAGCAGTGTGCATTATCTATTAGGTTTTTAGTGCGTTGTCATTTCATCGATTTTTTTCGTCTCCACGCCCACTTCCACCCAATAGACAAGCCTGATGCTGCTATTTAATAACATTTGATCCTCAAAATCTAATTGAACTAATCACCTACCATTAATTTTAATTATGCTGAAGTAAATCCATGTTTGTGATGCAGACAACACGCAAATCACTTTTTTTTATTTCTGTGCACAAACTTGCACAGAAATATGTCTCATTGACTTTAATTTTTGCAATGTCTAGCATGGTTTAATTGCAATAGCGATAGAGTGGTGTAAATTAAATTATCTTGTCCATCCATCTGCTGATTTGCCCATTCAAAGCATTCAAGTTAAACGCTTATATTAAGGGCGAGGATAAGGTCGAGCAAGGAGAAAGCAGAGATTTATCCGTACAAGTAGTCAAGATTGATACCATTTGCCTGTGTAACCTGCTATGACCATGCTCCTCGTCCTCGCTCCTTCTTGTGTTGTGTGTGAAGCCAGCCTGATGTCGAGAGGTTGACCCACTTTCTACTTAATACACCTGTCATCAAATCGTCATTAAGAACGAGTCCAGAACTTGAGGGCTTTCTCCGCTAAATTGTGTACTTGTTTCACAATCAAACTCTTCTTCTTCTCCCATCGTCCTCTCAATCAGCTTGTGACTTTGACATTTCAGAGTTTGCAGTTTTGAATACAACAACACGTCATGTATAAGTAGCAGTTATGTGCATGCATACACATAGTTGTGTACATAGTTGCCGCTATGTTATAAGCAGCTAAATTATCCCTTCCGTATTTCTTAACATTTAGGTAGGTACGAATCATCTGATTCAGTCAAGATCGGGTGAACCGGCCACTCATCGAGTGAGTGTACGTATTTAGGTAGCATAAGCTCAATCCCCCCGCTGGCGAATTCATGGACAATTGAGTTGAATTGAAATAAATTTAGCAAAGGCACATTTCTCCGTGAAGTATATGATGATCCCAGCTATTGTTGAAGCCTGAAGTACATTTTGTATGGAAGGAGGCGACGACAAGTGCTCCGAGGGTGGCTCTCAAACACCAACACTCTCCTTGGCAAGCAGCTAAATGAACTTTCGCATCATTCGCTCCTGCTGCGACGTTTTAATTAATCTGCAAACTTCCACTTATTAAGAGCCTACTAATTCATTAAGCTAGACGTACTTTCTGGAAAAATGTTTGTGACAGAAAACATGGAAGATTTCTTTAATTAACTACGACCGAAAAGAATTTCTAATTAATATCGTCCCGCAGGTTTTGTAATATTTACCTTTGTAAAATCGTTATACCTTCCCTCACACAAACTGAAGTATTTAACTAACTAAATGTATATGTTAGCAGTACACCAAATACAATACTATATGAAAATCAATCATATCTCTTATTTTAAGAACTCCACGAAGGATTAGAGATTTGAATAAGTAATTTTCCTTTCTTGTATATGAGTCTAATATGTAAAATCGAACCCGTGACTTTAATCAATGATACATGCAAAAAGTGCACATGTATAATGGTTCTCATCAATTCAGTTACAGATACATACAACCCGATGCCAGCCTAATACGGATTCAGTAATCAATTTCAGTTAAGAGCGACACAGGATGAAACTCCCGAGCCCACTACACTAATTATACTAAGACTGAGATTACACCTCCTGCACACAAAACAAAAAAAATCTTTCTTTAGCCCACTAGTTTTCCTTTTCTGTGTATTATTCCTCACAGAACTATGCATGCACTGTGTTGGTCATTATCTAATGCTGAAAATATCCTGAAGGGTTGTGGAAGAAATAGAAATATCAACGAGTCGCAATTTCAGAATATTTATGCACGCCACAGTTCCGCTGTCAGTGAATGAAGAGAAGAAAATGCCCGTTTCTTCTTGTTCAACACTAGTTCGAATTGGTTGTAGAATGAGGAAATCCGGGACTTGTTTGCTCGCTTTCTCCATTTCCCAATTCCCAATCCAATATATCATTAAAGTCGAGTCATCTCACTGAATGTTCCAAATATCAAGTTCACTTCAATCGTCTCAATCAAAACTATTTAAAAGTTCTGCCATAACTGCATGAATATTAGGTACATATGAACATATTTAGATCGAGGTAAATAATAATAATAATAATAATATTTTGGTTCGTCGAACTTTAAATTATGGTTTAAAACTTTTCATTCCTTATTATTCAAGAGATTATTCAACCCAAGAAGTACGTAGTAAGGTTACTGGTATGTGTGTGCTTTCACTAAAAATAGACGCAGGATTGTGAACTCAGACAAATTAGCCGTAAAGGAATGTTGAAGCAACAGAAAAGCAAAAAGCAATCAAAGACTTGAGACGACAATCATACCAAAATAACAACTTGTTACTTATTTGCATGTGAACAAATCACAACTGAATATCCAATCTCAGTTTCAAAGGTATCCTTTACAAACTCTTTTATCATCCGTCTTCCATTCAAAAAATGTAATATTCAGCCCAAATGTTCAGAGAACTAACAAGTCTTGTATTAATAATACGTGTAATATTACATCACATCGCATCGTATCATGGTATCGGGGAAAATATCGTAACCTGGGGAAATCCCAAAACCACTTTCTCCTCTTTCCCCATCTTGGCAACAGACTAATAATAAGGCAGCAGTGCACATCACAGGTATGTAAACAAGAGACAGATCTATATGTACACACAAGAAAGACGATAATATTTAATACTTCAAGCTTGATAAGAGTTCTGGTTGACTGATAATTAATTTTAGTACTCGAGTACGTTATAATTTATCTATTTCAGACGAAACCAGTTTCGGAATGGCTGACTATCATCTCGCATAGATAATTTCTAATTTCTTCTTTTGTGAGATCATAAATCTCGCCAAGATGAAACTCGATGTTGTTTATATGAGGGACGTATATACGTTCCCATCATATGTACGTATATATCACCCCGAGATTATTTACTTCTAGACAGTATTACACTCGATGGGCTTGGTGTCCACTTTTAAAAATAAACTCAGGCATGGATGCGAAGAATATCAATCTGAAAATGCGAGGATTGGAAATAGGGAGAGAAAGCGAATGAGAGAAAACCATGCAGGGGAGAATTTATAGAAAAGTCAACACTAAATCTTCATTGGAAAGCTCACGCCGACTGCAGAGAAAATCTCATGGTAATCATCCTTGGGGTTGTTTTCTGCCCACATTTTCTGTGCCGTAGTCAATTGTTCATGTGCAATTTTTGGATATCAAAAAGTCAAGTAATTACTATTGATCCATGAAATAGAAAGTGTTGGGTATATGTATATATTCGCCTAAGGTGCATATACACATTTATAATACTTTTCACTTGTTTATTAACTAGAAATCCTAGAGATTTCTGTCTGTGTGTCGAATATTGAAAAACAGGTTTTCTTGTTTTTCATGTTAGTCCTCCGTGTACCTTGCCTGGAATTCAATTCCATCATCAAGAATTGGTCCCTTAATTAAATCTTAAAGCAGGAGGAAATACCAGAGTTTGCTGATTGGATTGGGACGACTCCTGTCAATGTCGTCGTGGGTCTAACTCGCCTCATCTTCCCATCTTCCATACAACTATGCGAGCTACCTACCAACCATACCATATTCAGAACAAGCTTATTTATCTGCAGGAGAACATCTGAACTGGAGGAATGTGTGCAAGTAAAGCATATAAAGTCTTCAGAACGATCCGTTTCACTATTTGCTTTCACGACTACATACACAACCTAATTCTTCCGGGACTGAATCCTATCTTCTACACACATAGGAAATCTGATACGGAGAACTCAAATATCTCATGAAATCCTCAATTACATTAATCAACAGTTGTATGATTTCTTTTCAATAAGCGAAATTAACTTGCTTACTTGCGTCAGTTCTCAAAATCTCATCTCAAAGTTGATTTAAAACGAAAAATATTATGCTCCAGTTCTCCAAATAGTAATCATTGTTGTTATATGATTGACAAATAAGGTTTCAGATACGCATTTGTAATTTTATACATCAGCTTGTAAACGTCAACGTTTAATATATGCATTTATATATGGAATTTATAATAAGTTATGAGGACAACAATTTTACTGAATAAGGTACAACAAACAACATGGAAGTTTCAATGTAGAAAGGGAATGCTTACTTGTGAGTATGATAAACATATAATTATGTAAGAAATCACAGTACACCTCCAGTGATGCTGTAAATATAACTCCATCCAGCGTCCCCATATCATAATTTGAAAGTTTGTCAACATCTTAAAAGTTAATAAGTAAAATCTTATGTAAGTAATTAGATAAAATTAGTTAGATTACAGTGGGACATTCTCAATGAAAACATTTCTAGAGATTTGAGGCATCGAGATGATGTACTGTACTTTTTTAAAACTTGAATGAAGAATATGTCTATAATCTTAAAATGATACTTTCTATAATATTAATATGCATGTATGAGTTAAAAGGAATTGTTGTGTTAAAATTAAGCCATAATTGCTTATATTGGCAGGTGTAAGAAATCAGCACAAGGTATTGCATACAGGTAAAAATTATATATATATATTTTGTATTTAAACCGTGGTCACTCTCCCACCATGAATTTTCTTCATCTGGTAGACGAGTTGCTCTGGAATCTCGGCCAATACTTCCTTTGCCAATACCACTTTTGTTTCGAGTTGATTGTTCCCATACAAAGTAACGAACTTTTGCAGCTCTGGTATCATATAACAAGAAGACTTAAGTAACATACATATGTGACATAACTCTCACACTCAAAACATTATTATTATTATAGTTCGTTATTGAAGCAAATTATGGTTATCATTTGAAAGTCAAAGCTCTTGCTCTTGCTGTAGACATGTATTAAGATGGTGAAAGCTTGAGTGAAAGTCAAGAACAATGAGCATTTTTGTACACGTTTTTCAGCTGCAAATATTCTATTACTAGGCTGAAGCAGCTGGAACCTCTGGATTTGAAAGTTTAGCAAACGGGTTTTAATTTTTTCATCCAGAGCACCAATTGGTCAGGCAACTCGTGCAGCACTGCTCTCGTCAAGTCCTGTTTACTATAAGAGCCGCTTTGCTGATAACCATAGCCTTGGGTCATATACTTTCTCATTTCTGAAACATAAATCCAAACGTCCACATTCACTCTGCGAAATTTGTGAGCTTTTACAAAGTAATTATATAAGTAAGGAAGCCACAGCAAACATAGAACCCATGATGACGAGAAAACAATGAAAGTACAAAACTTAAATAAAATGAAGCAACTTTCACTACAACAATAATGCGTGCGATTCTACAGACAACACATGAGGCAAAATTTTAGAAATTTGATGGTTAATTTACCCACAAACTGCACAATGTCTCTTGCAGCTGCTCGACCGTTGTGTCGCAAAACACGACCATCCGAATCTAAAAATTCCATTGCGGAGAAGTCCTCTTGTCCTACGCCAATAATTCTAAGCAAAATCAGATAATAAATTAGTGAGTACCACCATACAATTTGACCTACTCAGTATAAGCTTATTTTTACAATTATTTACATGATTGACATTGGCAATGTACTGGCGTTGATGATGGCATCCTTAGTAGAGTCTAAGTCTGTAAGTAGAAAATAAACTCATGCATGAATCACACAATTACTCAAGAGACTGAGTGTAAGAGAGCATACCACAAATGATCCCGTCAGTGAGTATAGTTAAGATGAAGTAAGAATTTCCGTCTTGGTAAGATGATGCAAATCTCGCAACATGGTTAATTATTGGAGCAAAGTATGTTGGGCCTACAATTTTAGAGTTAAATTTCATGATAAAGTTGGTTTTAATGATTCCTCGCAATTTTAAAATCTTTTAAAAACGCATACCGTAAAGTTGTACAGTATTCAAGGCGCGATTATATGCTTCCAGTATTCCGGCCACCCCTGGAATAGTGTTCATTACAATTTTTTATAAGAGAGATGGATTCCATTTAAGAGATGGAAAATAAAACAGTTGTGGACTACTAAATTATTATGTAAACGAAGAAAACTATATATTTTATACCCGGGCAAAATGGACTGTCCGTACTTCCATTGAGGAAAAATTCATGAGATACAACTTGTCCAGGGGGAATTCTAGCGCCTAATCCAGAATTACGTGTTTACCAACCAATAATATTCATAATATGCAGATAAAGCTTACCAAACCCAAGAGCAGGAAACAGTTTGTCTGAATCATAATCTTGAATTATCTCTCCTGTAATTGTTATGCAATTGAAATGGTCAACAATAATGAATTGAACTTTTCACATGTAGCCTACATGATGTAGGTAAGTACATAAATCATACCGACGGCTTTAATGGCAAGTGAGTATTGGTTATCCATTTGTGGATGTCGATAGTGCAGGCTCTGAGGGTTGTTTGGGTCTCCTATGTTGAATAATCCAATACAAATTAATAAATTATTATTACATTCACCACACTTTTAAGATACTGCTTCTTACCATTAGATGCAGTGAAATCTACAGCTACTGTAAAGTGAAGTTGAACTCCACTTTGAATGTAATCCAAGAATGACTTTTCTTCTTCAACTCGAAGCCATTCCACATTAATAACTCCAGAATTTGTGTAGTTTTTCTTTTTGTCCTTTTTCTTTTGATTAATGGCAGGAAAGCTTGCACTGTTTTCTTTCACGGCTGAATAACATAAATCATAATAGTAATTTTATTTTAAGGCTTCAATTAGAATTACTTAGAATTATTTAATTGTTTAATTAATCAAGGTGTACATTGTTGTAGCTGGGTGTAGGTCGTGTTAAATTCTCCAATAAAATCTCCTGATCCGTTACTATTCCAATCCCAAACTTGGAAACGCAACAACCTTTCAGGATTTCCGCTAGTCAAAGAAGCGACTCGAACAGAAAATGGTTGCCAATCAGGATTCAATGTATTTTTAATGACATCCGTCTTGTGGACATCAGTCCACGAACCATCATCCATCTTCTTACAAATGGTTACATATGGATCAGATTTTCCAAACATGTCCTTCTTATCCAAGTTCCGCCCATTCATCTTTATGTGCAAAATCTCTTTGTTGGTTCCAATCTCTTCGGCACAAACAACAATGGATGACGATTTTCCTGAGGATGCGAATCCGGGGGGCAATTCCAATTTTCGCTCAAACTATATAAAGCGAAGAAGCCGTATTAATTGTAATCAATGAATATAAATATAAATATTATAGACATATATGATACTCGCATATATAGTATTATAGACATATATAATATGTATATATAATATATATTTTTACCTTCTTATTTGGAGCTGCAACAATTTCACCCAAACTGAAAATTGGGTAAAACTGTTAATTTAATTAAAATCAACTAATAAAATTCGTCTAAAATTAACCTGCATTCCAAACTTCCGAGAAAGTCATGCGCGTCCAAAGTGTTCGAATTTCCATCCCAATCGTAAATTGAAAATTTCAGAATCTGTATGACCAGTCTTAAAAAGTCAAAAACACAAATTACAAGTTAAAGTTATGAAATCTTACTTGGCGCTCCTCAAACCGATAATCTACTGTAAATTTTTTGTTCCAAGATGGGCTCAAATTGTTTTTCACTTGTTCCGTTCTTCCCAGCTCGATGTACTGATTTGTCCGCAATTCCTTTGCGTAAAGGACACAAACGGGGTCGGACTTGGAAAAGGTATCTCTATCGAGTAAATTCCTGTAATATGGAAGACATACAATATAGTTTGCGAATATTAATTGTACAATATGCTTATCAATTAAGCACCTGCAACCAACTTGAAGCTCAACAAGTACTTGAAGCCGACTCGGCCCTAAAAGTTGGGCACCCAATGGGATTTGATATGCCATTTAAAATTAGCCTGTGTAAATATATTTTTACTTATTTTCACTAAAATTGACCACGTTTGAAACTAGATGCACCGAAATAATTACAACCAAAGTTTCCTAGCGCTAACTGATTCAATTTTCAAATATACAAACATTGCAACTCAAACGGTTAATATTAATTTCGGCACGATATGGATACTTATGTAGCTTTTACATCATATGCCAAGTAATCTAACCAGACTGCACAGCTTTTGACGACAAAAGCTTTTAGTAAGCTATCCAACAAAACAAAGGTGATTAAACAAATAGATATCGGAAAGACTACACCATCAATGTATTACATGCAATAACTGGATAACCCATCCATTTAGCAGTAGCGTCATTAATGCAAGAGTGTACGTACGTACAATAAGTATTTGTACGCACTATAATATGTAAAATCACTTGTGTACGTACATAAATGCACGCAGCCTTAGTAATAGACAATGAGAAAAGAGTGTTTTCCAGAGTTCCAAATGACAGCATTACATTTGCATACGAAAAGATGACGTGACTGGTGACAATTGTCAATTCCTTGTCGAAATCAGTTTGATTTTTTGAAGTCAATAATCAATACCTACTTAAAATTAAAACTATTCTAAAAATAAGTCGTGACGTATGTGACAAACACAATATGCAATTAATGAACAGGACAACTTTTTAACCTTTAATCATACCACATAGAAAAGTATCATTCTACATAACCATGAAAATTGAACCTTTGGTTTCGAAATTCTTACTTTGCAGAGATGATGAGTTCAACGGGGGCCGTGGGGGTGGTAAAAGCTGGTGCAGTTTGAACTCCCCCACCTCCTGGGGGACCCATCATCATCGGTGGGGCGGATGCATAGGCTGCGCCGCCATAGGGGGGTTGTACCCCCGGGTAACCTGGTCCTTTAGGGTACATCTGTTTGAGATAGATACACTTCAATGAGTCACACGATTCACTGGATTACTTGCTAATAAAATTATCTCCCAGCAATAATGCAAAGGTTTTATGTCACCAACTAAAGTTTATTCTTAAGTCTACAAAAAATTAATAATTATCTGAGAAGGCTAATATTATATTATTATTATTCAACAGCTAAAATCAAACAACCTACAAGATTCTTGTCAGCAAACAAAAATTGTATATTGAGTTCGCTGCATTAGTTCATCTCAATTTTTTAGTGCGATGGCGTCATACGTATGCATTGTCAACAATTGAGAATCGATTACGCACGCACGTCTAACAGACGTCCAACAAGCACATGCTAATGATTCATTCCCTTATCACACTACCATGTAACGTTCCAGAGAACAACTATGACGTGTTCAACGGTAGTGACGTCAGTCAAGGATTCAAAAGTTCGGTTATGACATGACGTCACTGTCAGTAGTGTCAGTCCTATAGTTGGTCCAATAGCACAGAACAACTTGTTCTAACTTATTCTATATTATAATGATATATATTGTGTATGTATTATCTTGAAACATTTTTCTAGGATTCAATACACATGTTTTTACGGAATAATTAAAAAATATTTACCTCAATAGTAGAATTTTCCAGACCAGATCAGGTACGTCGGAGTAAACAAGTGTCCGTTCCGTATTCAGATTGACAGGTATGAATATCAGAATATCTATATACAGCTGTTAGCGTGGCTTATGTTGGATACTGAAAAATTTATGTTCTACTGATGCTAATTGCTGATTACAATATAATTCTTACATGCTAACAGGTTTTTGTCTAGTGTTTACTATCTACACTTCTAGACACTAGTTAAACATGTGTGGTGCTATTCTAGTCTGACGAAGGACGACAGAACAGTGAGACTCTTGTATGCTACTATGCTGCGCTGTAGATTTTCCGGGTTTTCGGTTTCCGGATTGCAAGCAAAAAAATGAAACTGAGCCTACATCATCTAGGATTATATTTACGTTTGTAGTGTATTTTATTTAGCATCGTGATCCGGAGATGAGTGCATTTTATGAAATTTTATAATTGTAGTTGAAATGTACCATATTTATCAGTAAATATGAATATTTCAAATTCCAGTCAAACAAGCTCCGAATCCGATTTTTGAAATGCTTCTCAAATAATAATACTTTTCCCACATGTGGAAAATGTAACCCAGAAAATGTTTGCCTTATAAGATTTCTTGATTAATATACACATGAATTTTATGAGAATACTTAAGTATAAAATTTAATATATGACTTCATATCTTTACATTTATGTAATAAAACAAAGATTCTATTGAATAATGGTCAAAACATTTATAGTATGTGTAGAAAAGAAACGCTCTAAACATTTGCATCTATTGCTAAAATCACAATTAGGCGTTAGTGGTGTATAATCTAATTATATTTTTCAAGAGGAGCATAATTTAAAAGTTTCTCGATAAGATCAACATGTCCCAGCAACATCCTCCGACAGCAGTAACGCTTCAATCCGAGCGCATCCAAAGCATCCCTGTTAATTTTAAATAGACATTTCATAAAGGAGGTAAAAAGCTATCCGCAACATATCAAGTAAATTTATGGCACATCATCAACTGACATAGACGGTATAAATTATAAATACGTTTAATTACCCTTCCGTGTATTCTGCCTGCAAGAGACCCAAATACGCCTCCCACTTATTCCCAATTACTTTACCACATGTGAAACATCTTACGGGAATAATCATTTTCTCCTTCTAAACTAAAGTAAAAGTAAAAAAGAAACATTCAATCAAAACATCAAACAATTTCAAAATCAAGTAGGATTCCTACTGTAGGAAGTGTTACCTAAACTCACCAATTTGTAAATTTTTCGCTTATGACAATTTGGAAAAATAATCCAGCGTCGAATCTCGTATAATTTTAATTATTCTTCAGTTGACTTTACGACAATACAAACTTTGAAATTATTAAAGTTTTGTGTGTAACCGGAGAGCGAGTATGATTACGATGCGAATGGTGGCGGTAGTGGTAGTGAAATGTGAAACAAACTCTCGCGTGAGACAAAGATGTATAATTTATCCATGATTTATTTCCAATAATTAAATATGCATGTGATTAATTATCATTACTAAAATAAGCTGCTCCACACAATATGCTGTCATATAGCACAGCCCTGTTCGAAAAAGAGATTATTTTATTATCATCAATCAAACATTAAATTGTAAAAACCACAACCAGCTCTTAATTACGAATTACGACAAAAGAAGAATAAAAATGAAAAATCAGAATGGATTTGTGAAAGTCCTTTGTTAAACGAAAAACTGCACATTTATGGTAAAGAATGAACACGTATTGTTTTAGTCCGGCAAACCTGACGATGAGTTTGGCAATGTCATTTTTATGTAAGTAATAAGGTTAGTTTTCACGATTACCGGTGGAATGCAAAAATTGCGGTGGTAAGACAATAATTACAAATTAGTAGAAGTTTTTCTCATGTGCATAAATTCGCAAAGTTGGCGAGGAATTTCTGCAAGCACTTGTTTTCCCAGAGCCGCCCTGGTAGCGGCATGGTCATTCCCAAATTTGCCAATGATATCTCGCAAAGCTGTAATTAATTTACGGTTACGGTTCGTTTCAATTTTAACAATTCTACAACTAACGCAAGTCTATGCAACTAACCAACAAACTGCACAATGTCTCGCGCGGCCTCGATGCCGTTGTGCTTCAAAGCCCGTTTGTCGCCGTCGAGAAATTCCATTGAAGAAAAGTCTGCAGGGGATATTTCGATTATTTCAAGCACAGTGATCATATTTGTCTGGCATAAGTTGAACCAAACAAAGTGGCTGTTGCAGTGATTAAACTTCTTTAAATGTGTAAATACAGATTTCGGACAAGTGCCACTCTCCTCGGCTCAACTTATGTCAAAATCTGATCACTGCGATTGAAATTACCCTCTGAGCCAACGCCGACGATGATAATGGAGAGTGGAAGCTTGCTCGCTAATACAATCGCTTCACGGGTGGCATCCAAGTCTGTACAACGAAATAACGTTTTAAAAATTAAATTACACATAAAATAAAAATAGCTAAAAGGGTGTGAGTTAAGCAAACTTACCACAGATCATTCCATCCTAGAAAGGCAATTACACAAAATAATATCAGTAGAGTACATTTTATATGAGATTTGTTATTATTTATTACCGTAATGATTAAAAGAATAAAATAATGTCGGCCATCTTGATATGTCTTGGCAAACTCTGCTACATGACTGATCGTATTTGCGAAATTTGTGGGACCGTAAAGGCGGACTAGAAAAGAAAAATGGGCGCTTGACAATCTGAAACAGTTGTATTGGCAAAATTAAATCAAATGTATCACCTTTTCGCAATGCTTGCTGATAAGCTTCCAAGATGCCCTCGACACCCTTACAGAATGGGTTCTGTGGGTCAAAATTAAGAAAAAAGAGGTGGCTCACTTCCGTATCGGGTGGGATTTTAGCACCTACAATTAAATAGTTCATATAAAAAAGGAGCTTTTATTTCTAATATATGCATATGCATGTCAAACTTACCAAACCCAAGAGCTGGGAAGTGCTTATCAAAATCGTAGTCCTCAATGATGGATCCTATAAATATATTTTATCGGTATAAGGGCAACTAAAATAATAATTGTTAAATGCGTTTGTGTACCAATTGATTTTATGGCAGTAGTGTATTGATTATCCTGATCGGCTACCCTCGAATGTAGACTAAAAGTAAATCTAACCTTTAGGGTTTGTTCCAGTATCAACATTGGCCTTAAAAAATCATATATTTAATTGCACCTTTTCGCATCATTGGGATTTCCGTTGGATGCAGTGAAATCTACTGCAACTGTAAAATGTAGCTGAACTCCAGTTTGTAAGTAATCTACAAATGTATAATTTGTTTCGTCCACCTGCATAATAGAACAAATAAATGAATAAATAAATAAATAAATAAATAAATAATGCAATAAACTAGTTTTATGTATGTATCTATTATATGAACGTAGTCGAATATGCCCTGTGACACAGACACAGTTTTGGATATAAAGAAGAGCTGCATAAGAGCTAATTCGGGAGAATTTACATAGATTCGGTTTCCACTTAACGATGGTGCCTACCTTATTTTACTTGAAAATTACACCCACCTGTAAATTGATGTTCAGTACACCCGAATTTTCATAACCCTTCTTTTTTTCCTTCTTCTTTGGGTTAATTAATGGCATTGCTATTGGGTTGCTCTGTCGTGCAACTACATTCAATCAACACATTATTAGTTCACCAAAGTTATGGTCAATGTTTTAAGGATACAAAAATAACAATATCTGAATCTAAACCTACATCTGCATAAATCCTCCCAATTGGTTTCGAATTCTCCAATTAAATCGTGCTTGGAATGCTTGTCGTGGTCAAAAACTTGGAAGCGGAGCGGTCTGGTGGGATTTCGTCCAGTCAACTTTACCGTGTGTCCAGTAAATGGTCTCCACTCTGGATCCAATGACTTTTTGACCACTTCAGTGGTAAAGACTTCAGTCCAGCCTTCGTCATCATCATTTTTCTTTGAGACAATGGCGTATGGGTCGGATTTTCCCAATAGGTCCTTCTTATCCAACCCCTTTCCACTTAAGGTCATTTGGAAAGATTCTTTGTTGTCCCCCATTTCTTCGCAGTAAATTACAATCATGGAGTCCTTGTTTTTTTGAGCCAAGTTCTTTGGCAACTCCAGTTTCCGTTCAAACTATGCATTCGACAAAGGTAACTTTGCATCTCAATTTAGATTTAGATTTTTTTAGTAGCATTTTACTACTAAAACAATTATTTATTACCTTGCTGAATGGAGCCGCTACAATTTCTCCTATCGTACACACAGCGTTACCAAGATATTCCGACTCGGCCTTGTGTTTCTTATTGACATCTCCGTCAAAGTCATACACGGTAATGTTGAGCTCCTGTCTTTCTTCAAACCGGTACTCCATCGTGATTTTTGTTTCCCATTTTGGGTTCAAATTGTCCTTAATAACTTCTGTTTTCCCAATTTCTACGAGTTCGTTAGTTTTTCGGTCTCGAGCAAAAATGACGCAAAATGGGTCTGACTTGGAAGTCACGTCCCGATTAATCAAGTCCCTATTATTATTAATAGTAGTATTTAGAAGTAGTTTTTCATAGGATCCAGCCAGTTTGTATATTTTTTAAAAATGTATGCATTTATTAATTACTTGGCTGACAGGGTCAACTCAACCATGATTGATAGCGGTTCTCCTTTCTTCCCTTTGGCTGCCATTGTAAATTAAATATTTCGTTCTGCAATCAAATAATTTTTGTCATGAAGGGTTTGTCATGCTCAAAATTGTTTATTTCATGAATACTTCTAGAATGAAAATGATATTTTCCATATGTATCCGTAATTAGCATTTACAAGTTACAGATACTTTTCTCATGCATTGGACACGGATGTCATTAAAATGATTCAAGGTCGATTATACTGGAAATTCGAAATAGTCTACATTTGCAATAACCAAATGCAATTGCTGTAAAGATTGTGCAATGGGCATGCCGGTTATGATAAATATGATTTGGGAATGAGACACTTGCCTGTAATACGATCCAAAAAGATTGTCGCAGATCGAGCTCGATAAGACGGCCTTAAAAGTACACAACTATGCACAACAAGTAAGTTCCTGTTTACTCTTCTACAGCCCCATGAACCAACTGAAGTTAAAAAACAAAGGTTCTTGTCGTGCCACACGAGCAGTGATGATGACCAACTGCTCAACGATGATGTAAGAAGTTTGCCATATTTTGAAGGTTTTGTGAATAACAATTGCACGAATATGAGTCAAATAGTGTTATTTATTTACGAAATGAGAGGGTGGCGAATGGTGAGGTAATGTTCAATTCCATTCAATCTACCTCATTTAGCACAACCAACAGACGTCCGCATACAACACAACACTATTCTTCATATGTCTGGATTAGAATTCAAGCGCTGTTCATCCAGTCTATTTCATCTTATGACATCATTCTTTCGACCACATTACGTGCAACATGATGCCAACAACTAACCTTCGTCGTCTAATAATGAAAGAAGCTGCAACAACAAGCAGAATTTTATGTCCCTCCAAGACTTGCAAGATATACAAGAATCAAGACAACTAGCTGGTCTGCTGCTTCAAACATCGCATTCCAAGCATGTGATGTGATGTGATTGCAGGCTATGTAAATTTTTTGTAACAACTCGATGGAGCTGCAACATGTTGATGAGCATAAACTACAGACCTACATATGTAGATTCATCAGCTACGCGGCCATATCGTCATTTCTTCTTGGGTGCAGTTTGTCATCCTTGAAGGTAAATCAGAGACCAATGCCGCACCATAATCACTGTGAAGAGCACAATTAGAATTCCTGAATGAATCGCCGTGCAAGAATTTTGGTTCAAGTGTCACTATACAATTTTGGCTGCCCGAGTGTTTCACATGGCATATTAATCATGTGTACATATACACAATGAAGACGAGGTTATTAAAAATCACTACTCAAGGATGCAGCCTATGGACAATTTAAACAGCGATGCATGTTACTACAATTAATTTATGAAATGGACATTTCAGCTTTTTTTACTGATCCTATATATGATTACGTTCATTGTGCAATATTATTTATATATTCGCATTGCTTTTTTGATTTGTCTCTTTATTACTTTTGTGCATCTTATATAAACAGCTTATATAAACATTATGCAATTCGGAGAGTTTATGTAAATACCTAAACCACAACAACATACATAAAAACTAGTTCAGATGCACTGTTCAACAATCCCGTGGCACATTAATAAGATTTCGCTTGCCTACATATTTATAGAGAGTGAAATTCTTGCATGGATTTTCACACATATTAACTTATACCCCATTGAAATATATAAAATCACGTTTCTTCTGTCTGAATCATATGTACATTTATCTTTCATGTACCAGTTCGGCCATGAATAGATGGCTTGACAGGTTTAAAAACATACAGTTTTTTTTCTGATGCACATAAATACTAATAGTTCAAATTGGATAGTCACAGTTCGTCCTGGACCGTGATCTAGGTGGGAAAAGTGTAAATTGCCAATTACCACAGACATAATTATTAAAATTTGTGTATGTATGTGCATACATACATAGTCGGAAACACTCAAGTGTCAATGACATATAGCTTTATTACTTTTGTAAATCTCAACTTAGCAATTTTTGATTTATTTTACCGAAAAGCCAGATAAATTTCAATTCAAAGACAATTTTTAGTCTTAAAAATTTCCTCCTCCTGCGTCAATGCCACGCTAAAGACGAGACGACCACTCCTCGATGGAATTACGCACCCGATTCCAGGGACATTTTGTGGCATTCCGGGGTCAGAAATTTTTTCCAAGCCTCCGCACTTCTACGGGGCTTAGAACACACCTTTGCCCCTAACTTTGACCATTTTTCATATTCCGGTGGTTCAAATCCATCAAGGATGATGACCAATTCTGATTGGAGATAAAGACCGGAATTTGTTTTTTTTAGCTACGCTTGGGTCATTTTTTGCACTATAAGTTCGTGCTGAGTCCTGCTGAGAGGTCCCATCGATTCCATTGAATTGGATCTAACTTAGGGGATGTACCACGGACTCAAAAACATATTTTAAGAAATTTGATTCCCCCACCTCCCCCCAATTTTCAGCAAAATGTAGAGAAATTACCCCAATTAGCTCCCACCTGCCAAAATCATCAAAAAATCTGAATAATGTGACTTTCTGACCTTTTATCTATATCGGGGGATGTCTCTGACCGATTTTGCGTAGATTAGGACAATTCGCTTGTTAAAAGATTTTTCCGATGTTAAAATCTCCTCATTTTTAAAAAGAATCCTGCTCACTTTTCTGGAGCGTACCGCTTGAGGTGACTCCTGCATTTATTTAATCTGGTTTTCCTTTGGGGTACGATCAGGATGTGGCAAGTACCACATTTCAAAGCCTTAAGCCTAAGCTTCAATTTGAGCACTCATTGGATAATTTGAGTCGACACTGTCAGCAGTGAGCCCGGTTTCCGTTGGAATTTCGTGAATTTCTTCGGATACCAGGCTTGAGAGGCTTCACGATGGGTGTGGTCCTTGGAGGTTTTCAAAAAATTCTTCTTCGACTGTTCTTAGTCGATTCGGTCCCCATGAATGTTTTTATAGTCCGTTGGGCTAAATTAAAGTACACCTTTGACTTTTTCAGCACATGTCAAATTCACTGTTTTTCTTCGATTTTTTTTGTGAAAAACTATCGCCGCCCGCTTCTCTTCAATTTCCTGTATATTCATCCAGATGTTCAAAAATTACAAAGTCCATAGTGAATCATAATGTAAATCGCATGGCGAATCTAATGCACTTATCAGATTTTAATTCTGTGGCTTAGTTTTCTAGCAATCGGCTGTTGACACTTGAGTGTTCCCGACTATGTAGTATATTTACACGGCCACCAATTCCCCTCTGCTGCACCCTCTAATTGCAACCGGATGCCTATATACACCTACTCCAAGAACAGACTTGCATATTAGTTAGTTGAGATTTCTTTTCCGACAGGTCTCACGATTTCTTTTAGATGTGTGAATGGATAAGCTTCCGTTTTCACGCATTTATTGGTCATGCACTTTATGTGAAAGTTACGCACTTTCCAAACCTATTCAATCAAACATGTCAAACTGCCTCCCAAGTTTTACTTGGGTTCAACCCTGGAATTATTGCATGGTGCAATTATGTAAATTCTTATCAAATAATATAGTGAATTAGCTTCGTTGCTAGCCGCAGCATACATACATACATACATACCAGAGATGTGTGCCTACAGACTTGTGTATGTAGGATAGAAAGTAAGATTAGAATGCGTTGCCTTTCCACAAATACCTTCCAGTATTTGTATTTATTTATAATAAACTTCATAATGCTCGTGCCTCATCGTCAGATTATTCTAATAAAGCAAAATGTACCATATAAGTTTAGTTTGCTAATGTAAAAAAATATGCAAGGCACAAAATTATGTAACATTCGGTGCTTCTAAATAAGTAAGCAGTGCACTAGCATAATGCTTTGCAGCAGGAGGAGCATTTAAGTATAAGCATGGGTTGACAGTTAAAGAGAGTGCGAGAATTCATGAATGCGGATACACAACACAGCACACACCAGTATTTCCTTTGTTAAGGAAAAGTTACGACTTTCTCCACAAGAAAAGGGGCGGAGGAGAGGAAATGTGTTTAAAGGGTTTCCATTTATTCTTATCATAAACAAGTCAAACAATAAGTTTTGCTCGAATGTTTCATGCTTCACAAAATGTGGATGAATTGCTTCCTCTGATTTTATTCTAATCTCAATGAATCCTATGTGTATTGTTGCAGATGCATCTTGTTTTTGAACAACTACCAGATATAACGCCGTAACCCTTAGTTGATTACCATATCCGGTAAACAATAAGGAGAATTTAAAAATGAATGACCCTTATGTGCAACCCGTTGCAGTTTTCAGAGTTTTTGTTCTAGGTGGTATTTTTTTGCAAAATTGCACACTTGAAATTGGTTCATTTGCCTCCTCGTTTCTTACATGCACTTTCATTTGACTTACATGCATCTACCATTCATTTAGTCTTTTGGGTGAATATGAATATACTTGTCCCTTTCAGCAAATAAACACTGTTTACGTTGGTAGATATACATAAACGGATACTGTGCGGGTTTGCTGGAGAAGAACAATTTTGATTCACTTCTTCCTTCCAGCAGTAACTGCGCCATGAATGAAATACGATACGATACGATGGTTGTACTAGTAACTGATAACTAAGGACTAATGCCAAGGAAAATTCAAATTCAAAATTTATGGAGGCAATGATCATGAATCAAAAGACAGCGTGCTATGTGAGCTTATGTATGGGGGGAAGGATCGGAGAAAGAATCCAATATTTTGCATGGGCGTAATCGATGTCCCATATTAAAGGCAGTTTAAACATTCAGCCATTGTTCATATCCAAACCTTCATACCAAGTCTATGATAAAATAAATCTCGATTATAGAAAACAATAACAAAGCTGGCTGTCTGACAGGCCATGCAAATTCATACTCAGCAAAATATTCGTACACATAATATGATAAATTGCGACGTTCAAATGTGGCCAAATTTTTTTTGATATTATTTGTAGAATCTATAAATACACATATGTATTTTCCGAATCCATAACGGTTTCATACGTGAGGCCGAGTGGGGAAAAATCATCGCACTTTATTAGATCCAGAGTAGAAATGATTTGGAAAGTTTGAATGTGTCCCCATTGGGTGCAAGTAGCAAGAATTGTTACATTTCTTGTGTGGAGGGAAACAACAAGTAAAAAGGAGTTTAATTCCAACGGGACTCTTTGATTTAACACACATTCTACTTGCCTCCTCTCCTCGGACGAATTCACGTTTGTATGTGCATACGTATATAATTCTCGTCGCACTTTCTCCGCAAAACTTGTTCAACTTTTTCCAGTATACATTCAGAAGCACTCTAGAAAAAGTATTGGACATCCTCTGGCTTTAAAGTTTGTAGAATTCTCATGAAAAATATAAAGTATTCATTTCCATATTTATACACGCTCTGTAAAGCAAATATATTTTAGTGCAGGGAGAAAGGGGAAATAAGCCAAGGGGAGAAAAGTAAGCGTGTATCATCAGAAAAGTCCTTGTGTTGTCTCCACTCACTTCTGATGAAATTCATACCTGGAAATGTCATGGGGACTTTCTCTCCATGCGGTGGCGACGGTGGTTGGTCTTGGTAGGATTACTTATTAGTCTGTCTAGGCCAGTTAAGATTACAGATATTACGATGACGCCGCAGAAGTGGGCCTACATGCTACTCCATTCTCTGCCTAAGTGTGGTTTTATGTTTTGTGCTGGAAAATTAGAAAAAAAGTTTGGATAGAATTTAAAATTC